GAAAAACAATAACTAATATATTTTTTGATCTAGATAATTATTTCAAAACTGACTCAGTTCCGCAATTTTTATCAGTAGCGGAAGCAATCCAAGCTTTTAAAAACGATTTGATTCCAAAAGAACTGGCTATCAGTGGAATAATACAAGTCTTCTACAGACGCTTTACATTAAATTTTAAGAAAGAACTTTAAAAATTGATTGTAAAGAGTATATCGTAATTTCTGCTAAAAGACTTACAAGCAGTAGTGAGTTGAGCACATACCGCCTTTAATACTGATTATCAATCTTCAGCATATACAGTTTTAAATTTACGCAATGTAAAGCATACTTATCATATGGAAATATCTTAAAATATTTAATTTTTCAAATAATTTTTATTGTATTTTGAATATACATTACAAATAAAAGAAGTTTTATTAAATTATATATGTTTTATTTATTATCACAAATTTTGAATTTAGCTCGTTCTGAAATCTTAATATGGTTATATGCCTTTGACAACAACTCTTTAGCATTATTTTTATTTATATCTACTGGACGTCTTTGTATCGTTCGATACTTTGTAAGAACATATTGATTAACTAATTTATCAGTAATATCTGTCCATTTATAATATTTCCGTTTAGTTGAATTCTTTCCACATTTTTTCTTTTAAATTTCGGTTGCATCGTTCCACAATATAGGCTTTTAATGAGCTGCATGTAGAATAATGATTTATTTGATAGTTACTCATTAACTTTTTAAAAATTTTGTTAAAAAATTCTTTTCATCAGCAGTCTGAATATTTTTTGGATATCGTTTGGCTTCTTTGAAAATTAGTCTTCGAAAATTTCTTCTTGCTGACCTATATAACTCTTCAACAACAGGTATCTTACTCATATTTTTTATTAATATTTAAAAAATCTTTCCCCAAGCATTTTTTTTAAGAATCGGGTTTGTTAAGATGCTCAATTAAATCTAGAACCTTATCTCTACTCATCTTAAACATAAATAATTAATACAAAATTTGTTTTATTTTAGATTCTTATTTTATTTTTTTCTAATTCTTCCATACAATCGCATTAACTTCACAATTCTTATTGAAATATTTTCATCTCCTATGCACGGACAAGTTTCACGCAAGGAATCGGAGTCCTGTGAAGAATATGGACATATTGAGTAGTGGAATCCATTGTCCTCTATGACTACCAGAGTAGTCTTTGAACTGCAGTAAAAATTTTAAATAATTCTTCAATTCATTATAATATTCCTCTAACAAATGTCTTCATATTTGTCTAAAAAAATTCTATTTAGTTAAATATTCGTCTATTTTTATTCCTCTTGTATTATATTCAAGAATGTAGAGCTTTTTTATTATATTTTGAAATTTAAGTCACTTATTACTCTTAATTTGATCTAATCAATTATATTTTCTTCGATTGGCGTTGGTTTTTCCAAATATTTTTTGATATTGCTTCAAATCATTTTCGGTATAGTTTTCAGGTTTCAGTTTAAATATTAGATCATGTAAACGTTCAGTCCCCTTAAAGATCTGTCTGTCAATTATTGAATTTTAGATTTCTTCTTCGATGCTAAATGGTGCGTTTTTTCATTTCCTGATTCCCAAATTATTATCAAAACAAGTAAAAACGTTTGAGTCGGTATAAACCGATTGAATTATACCCTGCACCTTTCGTTGTTGTATAGCAATTACTCAAACCTGTGAAACCATTCTATAGAAACTTTACGGATATGTTTGACGTATAACAGACACACAACTGCCAAGTTTCATAAATCTGACTTTATTATTTTTCCAAATATTTAAAATTAGCTTTCAGAGTTGTATAGCAGGTACCCAAACCTGTCAAGCAATTCCACTAAAACTTCAGAAATATATCTGACCTATAATTGGACACATGACTGCCAAGTTTCATAAATCTGATTTTATTATTTTGCCGAATATAAAAAATTTGCTTTTGGAGTTGTATGGCAGTCACCCGAACCGGTGCAGCTATACTATTAAAATTTTTAGAGCATATGTAGAATATAATTGGACACATGTATACAAAATTTTATATTTGTACCTTTATTAGTTTTTGAAATATTTAAAATAAATTCTTTGAGTTGTATGGCAGCTACCCGAACCTGTTAAGCAATTCCACTAAAACTTCGCAAATATATCTGATCTATAATTGGACACACGACTGCCAAGTTTTATGAATCTGATTTTATTATTTTTCCAAATATTTAAAATAAACTTTTGGGCTTCAATGGGAGCCACTCGAACCTGCCAAGGGATTCCACCAAAACTTCAGAAATATCTTTGACCTATAATTGGACACACGACTGCCAAGTTTCATGAATCTGACTTGATTATTCTTCCAAATATTTAAAATTAGCTTCTGGAGTTGTATGGCAGGTACCCGAACCTGTCAAGCAATTCCACTAAAACTTCAGAAACATATCTGACCTATAATTGGACACATGACTGCCAAGTTTCATAAATCTGATTTTATTATTTTGCCGAATATAAAAAATTTGCTTTTGGAGTTGTATGGCAGCCACCCGAACCGGTGCAGCTATACTATTAAAATTTGTAGAGCATATGTAGAATATAATTGGACACATGTACACAAAATTTTATATTTGTACCTTTATTAGTTTTTGAAATATTTAAAATAAACTCTTTGAGTTGTATGGCAGCTACCCGAACCCGTTGTCCGAATTAGTCCAATAACAATAGGGCTCGTCCTTGGCACAAAAGAAAAAACTTATGAAAGTTTGGTGTCGATTGCATTATTCGTTTTTGAGTTATCGTGCGATCGGTCGGACGGACGGACGGACGGACGGACGGACATGTCTAAATCGACGCAGAATTTTACGCTGAGCAAGAATATATATATATGTCCATACCGCAGATGATTCCTTCAAGTAGTTACAAACTCCATACCAAAGTTAATATACCCTTCACGAAGTGCAGGGTATAATGAGGGTCATAGCTTTTATCAAGGTGCGATTCCTTGTAATTATGTAAAGGTGACAATAGTCATTCCAACTTTTCACTTTTTGAATTTGTAAATCTGATTGTGTTAGGAGTTGATGTTAAAAAGCTTTCAAACTCCAATTTTTCCTTCTTTGGTGTTTTTATCCTATTTTCGATGAATGATGTAATATTAAATTTATCAGTACTGTTTTCTTCCTTTTTTACTTCCGGTTTTAAAAATGTGGAGGGAGATTGATATTTCACAACATTAGCTAAGTCTTCAACAGGCTTAATAATTGGTTTGAATATATTTACCAAAATTTCATCATGCATAATTTGACCGCTTTTCAATGATTTGCGTTACCCCTTATTAAATGCTTAGGTACCCGAGTATAAGATAGACATAAGTAATAAAGTTGGGTCAAACCAATGGTTTGTATAGTAGCACTTTTCCCTTCAACAATATTAGTAAAAATACTGCTTTAAATACAGTCTATGTATACCTATCACACTATTAAAATTATTTTCATTCATATACAAAACTATTTCTAGGATTGCATATATTTATCATGAACGATCTATTCAGTCTTTGAAATAAAGCAAAAATTAATACAAAGTGGGGTTAACATAATTTTAAGAGTTAATTGTGTGAGTTAAGAAAAATAATTATATTTTTTAATGTCATGGAATTTACCGTTACCTTTTTGTGTTTATAGAAATTTGAACAAGCTTGCGGTTTCGGAAATATAAGGTGTCAAAAATTCAAATTTTAGAAATTTTAAGAGGCGATAACTTGAGAGGAGATGGAAATGGAAAAAAATTTTCTTCTAACAAGATGAACTATTTATTAATGTCTAAAAGCTCCTAAAATTTCAAGCTTCTACAGGCTGGGGTCTAGAACAAAACCGGAATCAAAAATTTGGAAAAAAAGACTTTATATAACGATAAATTTGAACGGCCATTTTGTTTTTTTTAAGTTTAACTATAGTATACAGCGCTAGTGGAAGCAAGTCGCTGCCTTTCTGCATTTGCAAAATTTCAAAAATGCTTATGGTTTCGTTGCAACAAATAGTTAAAAAAGGCCATTTTTAGGGTTTTGAGGGGGTATAACTTCTAGAGAGGGGGAGATAGGTAAAAATTTTGTTCTACGGAAATAAGTTTCTGGAAGGACGGACGGACGGACGGACAGAGTGAAACTAATAAGCACTTTTTTTCACAAATATTTTGGAAAAGTGCTAAAAACTATCTACATCTTGATAACGTCCCATGCAAAAATAATTCCTTATGGTATCTTGTTTGTCGCAAGCAACATCATTAAATGTGTTGCTGACCTATGTTTTTATTAAAACATAGTGTGAGGGAACGACCCACTTGAAAATGTTTATGTTGAATTTTTTTATTATGTTGCATTATTCATTTACTTTTGCTTAACGTTAATATGGTAATTGAGAATTTAAAATTATTACTTTCAAAAGAAATTATTGTAAGTATTTATAAGATAAGCAAATTTAATAATAATTTTGTAATTGTCCCAAATTAAAAAAAAAAAAAAAAGAATTTTTTTCAACATAATTTTGTAATTCTAAGAATATTTTTATGTTTTGTAAAATTAATAAAAGATCAGTTCACTTTGTAACAATAAAGTGATTAGTCGAACGAATAAAAATTCAAAACTAATGTTTTTTTTTTAATCTTTACAAAAGTCGCCCTTGTTCGTTAAGTGGCGCAGTTCCGGTAGGATTTAAAAATAAAAAAGGTGAATTGAAAAGTTAAAGGAAAATAACTAGTGAAAAATAAAAAGTGAAGTAAAAAGAATAAGTGAAAAAATAAAAAACCCCTTCTTGTGAACATTAAAAACTTTAATTAATACAATAAAATTTTAAGAGACAAAAAATAATAATAAAAAAATATATAAAATTTTGCTAACAAATAGAAATAAATAAGTTTTATTTTGTACTTGCTGCAAAAATTTTTTTTCTATAAAAGAAAAATGGTGCAATAAAATACACCAGAAGGTCAATCCTCATCAGCTACTCACCCTGCTGCCCAACCTCCAGCACTGTCGCTTTCCCTGGAAATACATCTCAGAACTTCCGAAGTTTAGTGGTAAGTCGTACGAATTATTTAATTTTATACGTTTTGTTGAAAATATAACCCTATTAGTTAGTAAATATAACGAAAATGGTCAGATAATACTTTTAAATAAAATTAAATCAAAGTTAGTAGGTAAAGCGAGAGAAGTACTGGAAATAAATAACCACGTTTCAATCTGGTCTGAAATAAAAATAATTTTAACAAATAATTTTAATGAAAAAAAAAACTTATAATAATCGTAACAGTAGGAATAATAATTGTAGTGGTAATAATTATAATCGTGGCAATAACTATACTGAGTTCAGACCTCAACGTGGTCCGAACGGCCAGAATAACTCATTTGGTAATTTTCAAAATTCTCGATCTGAGCCCATGGATGTTGATCCGTCCACCTCAAATCATAGAATAAACACACTAGAAAAAGAAAATATTTATGAAAAACATTCCCAAGACCCAAACGAGTCTATAAATTCTTTCGAAAATTTTTAGTTGACTGCCTCGGGGAAGAACTTTCTTTTATAAAAGTGCAATCCAAAGGAGGGCCACTAAAATTTATTGTGGATTCTGGCGCTACAATAAGTATCATTAATGCTGGAATTTTCAACCCTATGTATAAGTCTAAAATTGAACCACTTAATATAAAAACGTTATCTAATACTTTTATCTGTGATACTGTTACCTGCGATACTAAAGTAACAGAATATTCCTTCCTTGAATTTGATTCTAACAGTAAACCTAATTTTTTGAAAATAAATTTTTACAATAAATTTGACGGGTTGTTAAGGAATAATATTCTAAAATCATTAGGGACCATAATTAATTACACAAATAAAAGTTTAGAATTGAATACAGGTAACGTACTTCCTCTGTATTTCAATTAAAGTGAAGAAAATGAATACCATATTGCGATTCCAGTTAACAAACTAAGCATTTTTCAAAATGAAATTTTCTCAGGTGAAACTAATGTCAGATGCTATAATTTAGATCCTGTTACAAAAAAGGAACTTTTGATAATTTTCAGAAAATTCGATAAGGCCTTTTTAAATGAGGGTGATAATTTCTCTTTCACTCATCAAATTAATCTTAAAATCAATACGGTAAACGAAATTTCTATTTGCACTAAAATTTATAGATAACCTGAAATTCATAAAAAAGAAGTAGATGAACAAATTGAAGAAATGCTAAATCAAGGCATAATAAAACATAGCGAGTCACCTTATTCGATTTAGCAAAGGGTTTCCATCAAATTGAGATAGCAAAGGAAGATTTCAGCGTTTCAGTTTATGCTACGCTTCACGCACACTAAATGAGCACGAATGTAAATACTCTACAATTGAAAAAGAATTGTTGGCAATAGTTTGGGCAACGAAATACTTTCGCCCATATCTCTTTGGCCGTAAATTTACCATAAGGACCGATCGCAAACTACTTCAGTGGCTTCATAATTTAAAAGAACCAAACGCGAAGCTACAAAGATGGAAAATTAAATTAGAAGAACTTAATTTTGACATCGAATGGTAGAGAAAACAAAGTGGTAGATGCACTTTCACGTGCAAAAATTCTTTTAAATGAAAATGTATTATGCGACGATTCTTCTATTCTAAGCGACAATGAAATTCGATCAACTGATGCCACTATACATTCTGCTGATGAAGATAATTCTGAATACATCCCAATTTCATTTTCCCCACTGAACTTCTTTAAAACACAAATCATCATTAGTGCCGATAGCTCTAATTCTTTGCACATAAAAAATATCATGGTAGAACAAAAAAATCTAATGTGGTCAGCACATAACCGACCGCATTGTGTATTGTCTAGTTAAATGAAAGTGTTACAGAATATTATAAAAATGTCTGTTAAATACTTCTTTCCAATTTTTAGGACATTGATAAGCTTATAGTTAACAAACTTAGAAAAATCTAAATTTGGCTCTTAGTAGAGTTTCGCTTTGTGCTACTCGAATTCCCTGAAATGCTCTCCATTTAGTTTCGGAAACAACCAGAACTCAAATATCAAATTTCAAGAAATTCCATCAATTTGTTCTGTGGATATGGTGAAAAATTTAAATCGGCCCGCAAATCAGTTCTCGAGCCCTGATCTTTCCAAAAAAGTTATATGTTCATTGCTTTAATATGAGGAATTCATATATTAAATTTCAATGAAATCGGTTGATTTTTTCTCTTTATATACACAAAAGTGTATGTTTGGCCCGTAGTAAACGTCTAGTTGCCGATGCCTGATCTTTCCAAAAAATTTACATGTTCATTGTTTTAATACGGGGAATTCATATATTAAATTTCAATGAAATCGGTTGATTATTTATCTTTATATACACAAAAATGTATATTTGGCCCGTAGTAAACGTCTAGTTGCTGATGCCTGATTTCTTCCAAAACATACGAATTTTTGCGGACGGTCGAGCTGAGCTTATATATAAAATTTCAAGTAAATCGGTTGAATATTTTCTTCAAAATGTTCAAAAATGTAAAACAGGCCCGCTAAAAAGTGGAATTCCCGAGCCCTGATATATACCAAAAGTTGATCGATCCGCGCCATGGTGGAAACAAACTTACATATAAAATTTCATCAAAATCGGTTCAGACGAACTTGAGATACACGCGTGCACACACAGACCGACAGACCGACAGGTTGCTAAAAATAGTTTATTTACACTTCCCTACTATGGAGAAGTGCATTCCCACCGAAAACTCGATATGCAAAATTTGTTGCCATCACATAACCTACCTATTGTTTACACAATACGGTCGGTAAAAAACAATTGTTTCTACATATTCTATGGAAACTTTTTTATTGACGTATTTAAAAAATATATTCCAACTAAAGGGATCTTGGGAGTAATCATCAATGATATTGTAGTTTATAATGTTTTTCAAAACACTTATTTAAAGTATTTTTCAAAAAATAAAAATTTAGTATTCAACAAATGTTCGTTACTATTAAAAGATGTGTCAAGTAGAAGTGAATTAGATGAAAGAATTAGATGAACCAACACATTAAAATAAACCATAGAGGTATTAATGATGTGTATTTAAACCTTAAAGGTGAAATTTATTTTCCTAAATTAAAAATCGAAATACACAAAGTAATAAATGACTGTCATGTTTGTAAAATGGCAAAATATGAACGACATCCGTTAAAACTACCGTTAAAAATTACTTAAACAGCTGAAAAACATCTAGAAATTGTACACATGGATATTTGGTTGCATAAAAAAGGTAAGCCATATCTCACTTCAATTCACAAGTTTCCAAAACATGCGCAAATAACCCCCTTAAGTTCACGAAACTGGAATGATTTAAAAACTGCTTTAATGCAGTAAATCTGACTGTGGTAAACCGAAAAAGATCGCCACTGATAGGGAAAAAGGTTTTACCAGTTCAAATTTTCTTAGATAGTAGTAATGCTGACATCCAACATTTTAATAACACCTTTAACGAGCACCTAAGAGTTGTTGAAATTGTAGAAAAACAACAAGGTATTTCCCATGATGTCGACCCAATAATTCAAGCGGTCAAAACTTATAATGAGACAATTCATTCATCTACGGGAAAAAGACCCATAGATTTTGTTAATGGTTTATTAAAACCAGAGGATTTTTCTTTAATATCAAGAATTATATTAATAAATTAATTAATTAGATCAAAGAAAAAGCAATTGATAAATTAAACCTCAAGGAAATATCACAAAAAAGTTGATATTGTTGAATCTGATGAAACTCCCGTCAAAATTAATAAAGAAACTTTACCCAGGTATAAAAGCCAATTGAAAAAGAAACTTAAATATCAAAAGTAATTTCCTATTTCGTTCTAATAACTATAATTTCTTTTTTAGGAATAATCAAAATCTTTATACTTTTAATATTACAAAGCATGCATACAAAGGCAATGGCTACATTACTTCGTGAACCAGAAATTAAAGCACATAGTTATAAAAGAATATTGCACATAATTGATATATCGCAATATGAAGAAACTATTGATAAATTAGAAGCTAACATAATTAAACTGCATGAAAGTACTAATACTTTTAATCTCTTAAGTAATAAATTAGCAAAATTAAAATCAGAATTACATATAAAATTTCATCAAAATTGGTTCAGCCGCACTTGAGATACACGCGTGCAGACACAGACCGACAGACTGACAGACCGACAGTCATATTAATACTGCAAACCGAAAATAATTATATTTTTAATGTCATGGAATTTAAAGCTTGCGGTTTTGGAAATATAGGTTGTAAAAATTCATATTTTACAAATTTCAAGGGGCGATAACTTGAGAGGGGGTGGACATGGAAAAAAATTTATTTCTAACGAAATGCAGCATTTATTAGTGTCTAAAAGCCCCTAAGAAGAGACCCGTTACAACAAGACTTAAGGAACATTTAAGTGAAATAAAACGTGCAAGGAGAGTAGGATTTAACCGGATTTTCGATTCTATGGTTGCAAAACACATTTATGAAACGGATCACTCAATCACGGAAGATAACTTAAAGGTATTAAAAGAGGTAAAAGGAAAACACAGGAGAAAAGTTCATGAAAGCATGCTGATATACAAATCAAACAATGACTGCCTACTGAACACGGACGAAGGTAACGCGGCTCCTTGGCTCTTTAAATTAATTATTTGACCAGTTTTAAGGTTTAAAACAGTATAAATTTAGTTTGTAAATAATAACAAAAAAAAAAATAAATAATCAAATTCTAGATTAAGTCAGGTAGATTATATTAAGTCAGGTATAATATTCCTAATTTTAATAGATTTCAATTTTTATTGTTTGTTGTCTTAATTAGAAGAAAATCAGCTTTGATAAAGTGCGTATGTAGCGCACGAAATATATTAGCGAAAAATAAAAAAAAAGTATTTTATTCCTAATAAAAAGAAGTTTTCTTTTCATACCAATAAAAAAAAAATCTGATGTGGTCAGCACACAACCGACCGCATTGTGTATTGTCTAGTTAAATGAAAGTGTTACAGAATATTAT